ATCATACATTAATAAATATATTAATAAACTTTTTTTCAATAAACTTTAAAATTTTGAGTTTTATATTGAGCTAAAAGATGTTTGAAGATTTTTGGTGGGGTCTATATTTCATTATCATCTATATTAACATCAGATAATGGAAGAATACCAATTTTATTCAAACAATTTTGTATAGTTATTTGACTAACATTATTTTAAACCTCAGCTATATAATCAATAGCTTCTTTAAGATTTAATTTATTTCTAAATAAATAAATTAATTAATTTTATTTAATTTTTAAAACAACAATAATATTTTATTACTTACTTTATATAATTAATACCAGAATCAAATTGATGAATTATGTGTTTACAAAATTCTTATTTGTATTTTGCTTTAATCTATAAATTATTTTTGTGTCTATAAGTTGAAAATAAGCTGTAGTATTTGGTAGAAGATATACTAATTTAATATTAATAAGTTTAATGTTTTTTTTTGTTTTGATTTTTGATTTTGTTTTTTTTTTTTGCCATTTTTAACTTGATTCTTATTTACTATCTAAATCATTTTTATTTTCTTCTTCACTGTTTTGTTTAAATTATTTTAGATTAAAATGAGATCCTGCATTACTAACAAGAAGTAAAATTTTTCGATCTATTGTATGAAAATAATAATCAAGATAATAAAGCCATTCAATAAAAATATTTGCTCTCATCCAAGCCTTTAAGTTAGCTTTATAAATTACAGATAATGCTAACTTGTTAATATTTTTAAAATATTGGGGATTTAATGATTTTCCAATTACAAGAAGTGGAAATTTATATGAACCTGTAACATTAACACAAAAAAGAATTAAAACCTGACTTTTATCCTATAAAATTAAAAAAAAATATATTATTAAATATAAATTATAAATTATAATAAAATTAATAATTTATAAACTTACTTTTTTATAACCTGCAATAGCTTCTGTATTAAGTGTTTAATTAGGTTTCATTCTAAAAAATAATCCTGTCTCATTAGCATTATAAATATCTTCTTTATCATATCTAGATAAAAGTATTTGTAATCTTTAACATTCTTTTAGAAGAATTTCAAGTAGAGCACTATTAGTTTTTCCTGAAAATCTAATTTTTTAAAGACCATTTCCTTGTTTAAACCTATATATTTATCTATTAGCATATTTTATTTCATTTTCAATATTTAATTTTTTTGCAAATTTTAATCCTTTTTGCTATAATATCATATCAGTTAAAGGAACTCCTGCTGCTATTACTTGTGAAATCCAAATTTGCATAGCTTTATCAAGTAATAGAAATGAGAAAAACATTGTTTAAAGGTATTTGAAGTTTGTAAATTAGGAAGAACAGCTAACTATTTTTCACAATTTTTCTAAATTTATTAATAGTTGTTCTATCAACATTTAAATTGTATTTGGTATTAAAAAAAGAAGTAACTAAAATTTGTTTTTACCAGAATTAGCTACTATATATTCACATATTTCTTTTTTTATATTTATACTAATAGCAGTATGTTTTCTTTTTTGCAAGTTTGTAAAACCTATAGGTAATATTACTAACCATAAAAAAACACGAAAAAACTGTAAAATTTACTTTTGTAATTAATTTCAATATCACGTGATATGATTAGATTTAAAAAATAAACATTCTGCTAAATTAGAAAAATTAGAAATAAAAGGAGTAATAGATAAATATATTAATAAATACCATCTGTAAGTTTAATTTAAAAATTTATTCTTATTTAGCAAAATGACAAGAGATTTTTTAGCTATTTCAGGTAAATAAATTTAAAATTTTATGAAACTTTTATAATTTTAATTTTTAATCAATCTAATTTATTTTTATTTTTAAACTACTAGTGTTTTGATAAAAAGAGCATTTTCTAAAGGAACTGATCTAATCACAAAAAAAAATATAATTTATCAGCAGAAACAATTAGAACGTGTATGTGTCTTAAATCTTAATGGCAAACTATTTTAAAGAAAAAATAAAATTTTTTTATTTGTTTTTTAATTTTGTTTTTATTTTTTTTATGATTTTGATTTAAATAAAATAATATATAAAACATAATATCATATAATTTAAAATAAATTTTTTATATTTAAATATTTATAAGTTAATTTAAATTTGACTCAAAATTTGATTTGAATTTGATTCAACTCAAATAAATTCAAGTTAAAATCGAGTTGAATTAAAACTTGAGTCAAGTCAAATTGAGTTGAGTTTAAAATTTATATAACTCGAATCAAGTCAAGTTGAAAAATTTTATAAAATAAATTTAACTCAACTCAACTCAAAAAAATGAGTTGAATAGAGTTGATCCTTAAACTCAACTCAACTCGACTCATTTAGAATTCTAAATTGACTGTATATATTTATTAAATTAATATTTTATATATTATAAAAATAAAATAAAATTTTATTATAAAGAAAAAAATAATTATAAGTTATTTATTCAAAGATTAAATTTATATTTTAAAAAATAAAATAAAAAAATAAATTTATTATAAAATATTTAGTTTTATTTTATTCAAAATCAATTTAATTATCTTATTAATAATTAAATTAATTAATATCAATTAATTAAACTCATTTTGATTGATATTCTATATTTAAAATAAAAATTGATTTTTTTATTTTATCAATTTTATAAATATAAAAATGATTAACAATTTCATATATTTATTATTATTATTTTATTTAAACTATATATAAAAATTAATATATTAAATTTTTTTTAATTGTTTTAGTAATACAGTTATTCCTCTTATAGTTGCCCCTTGTACAATCACATCATATAAATCTTTCATTATAAACACATATTTTGTAGAATCAATATCTATTAATGCTATATAAAAAAACTCCTTTATAATAATCATAATGACATCCTTTCTGAATTAACACTTAGTAATAATATATGAAAATTTTTTACATAATCAGTTTTTATCATCACAATTTTTATTTTTGATCTTAAAGGATGTAACTATAAAGAAAGATAATTGTATTTCATTTTTATTTAATTATATAATGTAAAAATTAAGCATTAAATAATTACTTTTTAATATTATATAATTATCTAAATAGATTTATTAATTATTGATAAATATTTTATCTAACAAAATTAAAGATATTATTATTCTACTAAACATTTTCAGATATAATATAGATCAAATCCCTATTTTCTTTAGCAAATTCATTAACATTATAAAATATTTTATCAATAGTACCAGAAAATGGTGATCTAATCCAATGCTTTTTTATTACAATAATGTAAAATAAAAATTAATTCAATTATTACAATTTTAAATCATAAAATATTTATAAAATACTTTACCTCCATTTTCATAGCTTCTAATACTATTAAAGGAGTTCCTTTTTCAACAATTTGTCCTGGTTTCACAAGAACCTGCAAAATTATATGATGATTTAATGTTTAATGTTTATAATGATACATTCATAATTATATACCTGAGATATCTTGCATGGCATGGGAGTTCTGATAAAACCAGTTGCATCAGCAGATTTTGTTTTAACTTGAATAAGCTCTGGAACTTCCAAAACCATTTTACCTTCTTCCTATATAATTAATATTCATGTAAATGAGAATAATTATATAAATAATTAATGTAGTTGATGCTTATTACTGACATTATCAAAGATGATAACTTGGTAGGAATTCTTGTCCAAAACAACCCGACTTTTAATTCGATGATTTTCAACTTCGACAATTATTTGTTGTTCTACCTCATTCCAGCTACTAAGTACTCGTTTAACAATCAGATGTGAAGCACCTCTAATGATAGTGACATCAAATGAATTGTCATAATTGAATTTTATTTTAACACTGATATCATCATCATTGTGGTCTCTAAATATAATAGTTTGGACATGATCAGTATTTAAACGAGCATGTCGTAATGAAGTCCAAGGTGAAAATGGATCTAAAAAGCAACAAAAGTTAATATGATATTCAAAAGAATTAAAAAATACAGTACATAAGTTAATACCAAACGATTCAGCGGTTTCTTTTATGGTATTTTGAAGTTCACTTAATATCATAAACAATGAAGCTTGAATAATAACGTGTGATGGTGTTTCTTTTTTTATTGCAAATAGAGTATCACTGTGTTTCTAAAATAAAGAAGGGTATTAATTAA